CCCAATAACAAATGGAGAGAAGTCATTACTCATTTGACATGGGCATATCGGCGGTGTTTGGCATCAAACAGGGTGAATAACGGTCGAGGAAATCCTCGACCATGGCTCTGTACTGTGTGAGAGTAGTGCCGAGAGTGAATGTACGCGCGGAGAGCACAGACGGCTCGCGCATGGCGAGAGTGAATGTCCGCGCGGGAGACTGAACAGGCGAAAATCCTCGACGAGCCGTTGACGAATCCTCAACCGATTTTCACCCTGGCATCAAATGCGTTCATATTAATGCTTCTTCTAGGGAGTTCTTAATGGAAATCCGCCCTACCATCTTTAAGTTCGCCAGCAGTGAAGCTGGATATAGAGAAAAGTAAAAATACAGACAAAATGCAAAAAGTAAGGATGTGACCCGCCTTGATATCTGACAAAATTGCGGTGTATGCAAGAAAAACTAAGCGATTACGTATATTTCTTCGCTTTGTGGCCAAGTACAGGGATCAGTAAGGGTCAAGAACATAATCTCGTATGATTTGGTCTAATAGTAAAAATTTTACGACTGAAGAACTGTTCCGCCGAAGATTTTTGAGCGCTAATTTATATGCCCTGACATGAGTCTGATAATCAGCAATGGCGCTCACGCCCGAGGGCTTGCTCTTGTATTGCAAATCCTTCATATATGACTTCTTTCCTACAACGCTTTGGTAGGCCAGAATAAAGCCTGAGGGACTAATTATTTGCTTATAGGACTGAACGATCACGTGCATCATCAACACCGGCTATTGCTCGTCCACCGTTACCACCCCGTGGCTTTTCTACAACCAGTTCACAGGAGCCGTTGCAATCAGGAATCCCTCAATCACCACCTTTGCCACCACTATCAGCTTTAGTGCAAGGTCCTCCGAAGTTTCCTCCCCCAGTACCTCCGAGGCCTCCTCCGGTACCTCCAAGGCCAAGCGTGCCATCTCGCACGCACCCCAAAGAAGAGCCTGCACAACAGGAGAATGTTGAATCCCAAGGGGTGAGTGCTCCATTTATTTTCGCAGTTTTTTAACAGTATCAACAAAACTATTCGAAGACTATTGACTTGGTTTTGTATTGAGTTCTTTTTTGTTCCACTGGACCCTACCCGCCTTAGTCTACCCGATCGTTGTCACCTGGAATCATAGATTTTGTATGGAGTGAGTAGTTCAGTACACGAGGGTACCAGTGGCAGGCGTTGAAAGTTCGTAGAAAATATTGCTATCAATCGATATCGACGTCGTATGAGTGCCAGGAACATGTTTTGGGGCACGCGTCAGTTATTGAAATTCATAACAACAGTGCCCAGGAGCCAGTAATGAGAAATCAACGTGTGCTGCTTGTTTTCGGAATTTATGGATGTGCTATGATAGCAAAGAATTGCAAATATGTTATTAATGGCAGCGATTACGCTACGTTCAAGAAGAGTTAGAGGAGACGTGGTGGTGCTCAATGGTACGTCGGTGGCGAAAAAAGCGGAGAAATCCGTCAAAAAAAAAACGCAAAATGGGACCCCTTTCTTGGCCACACTCCAATTGAGTTACTTCAGTTGTACCGCTGCTGGCAACGCTGCTCCGTCTAAAGCATCAAGTAAACTAGTGGGCGGATCGCTTTTGGTGGCGGAGTGCTTTTGAAGTCCTGCTCAGCAAACCAGCGAATTCGTCGTGAAAACGCTACACCTCGCTTGTCGCTGTGCAGCATGCTAACTGTTCGTTGATGCATATGCTTTCTCGGTGTGCTTCCACTTTATTCGTAGTCGCTGGATTAAGTTTTGATTTTTGTTTGTCATCATGAAATTAGCTGTTCACCGTTGTAGACGGCAGGTTCTTAAGTTAGGAGCGAGGAGGGAATCGGTGAGGATGTGCGATTTAAAAAAAATAAAGGATAAAGCATTTGCCGTTGATCAATCCCTTTTGGGATGCGGCACGCATTCTACTTCCATTTGTACATTCGTAGTGGCGTTTGAATGCGATGTGGCCTATACAATGACTTGCGGGGGCCAGCCGATGTACAAGTCAGTGTTTTTATCCTCCCAGACAAGTCTGGTACCAATTAACCGACCCCGGAGGGATGGAAGGCTTGGTTGGCCCGGGCGACTCACGACCCAGGATTTGATCCCCGGACCGCTCGCGTGGTAAGCGCGCCATTCCACTACAGTGTTCATTCTTCAGGATGTGCAATATGTGAATCAAGTGTAAAGTAGGAATTGCTCACTGGACGGGGCCCACTCCTACTCTTGTCGGGATTTAGTAGAATGGTCCAGCACTTGGGAAGGAATAAAAAGGTGAGCATGGGCTTTTGCAGGTGCGGAATACATTACCAGCAGTGGGAAAAATATGTTCTAAACTTGCCGGGTGCCCCCTATGCGCACACGTGAATACTATCGTTATCTGCGTGATTCAGTGAAATCGGCCGTTCAGAATACGACATGGCCACTTATGTGTGAGAACTACGGACAGTAGGTGATAGCAGGTCTTAGTCAGGGAGATATTCTCAAAATTATACTGTGCATTGAGCTAAAAAATCCTTCAAAGGTGTGCTTCGGACTATCTAGTGGAGAATCGCTATTTCATAAAGCGCAGAAGTGCTGTGCAAGGTGGGTGCCGCGCCAGACTTTCCGAGTTTATTTTGTGTTTAATTATTTTTCAGAAACGATCATATCCTTCGAGAAAATTCCATGTATGAGTAATTGGAATACTGTTTCTCGGATAAAATAATGCATAGAGGCAGTTCTGGAATATGAAAATACTAAGAGAATTGAACAAGCGAGTCTGATTAGTGTGAAGATCAGACGCGCATGCGCGTCATATTATCATCAATACGGGGCGATTTTGACATCAGTGCAACGAATCTCTAGGTTGAAGGCTGAAGGCTTTTCGCTAAAAGCCACGAAGTTGTCTGAAAGAAGTGCAAAACTAGGCAACTCATGTCACAGCAAGCCTGTCAGATGGCAAAAACATGCGCTATGTGCGTTATCTTTTTTTGCAAGTTAAGGTTTCTGAAGGCCTACATTGAATTTTTTCCCACCCTCTTGTGCTTGTTCAGGTCAAAAATTATCCAGCAAGTTTCCCACCTCATGTATTATGTAGATTTCTGTTAAATTAGTTTCTTTTTGAAGGAAGCACGGATGCTTTGCAACTGGGGCGATTTGTGAACAAAAAAGCCTAGCTTACACGTCGAACCAGTGCGACATTACATCTACCAGGATTTAATATGTTTGTTGGCATCACATTTTTTTCAAGTATTGAGCTCATCTTATTCGAAAATTTATAGTGCCCGCCCAGAATCCTCTCTGGCAAAAAGTGATGTTCTGGGAAAATGCCTTTGTAGACGTCGTAGCTCAAGAACGAGATATCGTGGGAATGGATCAGGAGCCATCTGAGATGATTGAGAGGTAGGAAAATACACAATGAAAACGTAAGAATCTTACTAAGGTTATATTTACAGATATGCTGCGCTAAGCGACTCTGAAAAGAAAAGGCTGGAACTAGAAGAAGATCGACTGCTATCCACGTTACTGCACAACATGACTGCGTATATGATCATGTGTGGAACAGGTCAAAAGGCAATACAACAGGTACGGAGTCTTTATCCTGTAGCAATTATGTTTTTTATCATGGGTTTTGAGCAGAACCAATGGATACATGATGGTACTGCTGGCTTGGTGGCAGCGTTTTTCCGCTTTATTGGTCCCTTCTGGAGTCGTTCTGGAAAATTAGAACACCACTCCCACTCTCGACCATCCCCCGACTCTCCGTGATTCACCCAGCATCAAATTAGATCAGCAGGAATACACAACTCAATCTAGGCAGCTCATTATGCGGGATAAATAGGCGATTCACTTCCCTTTGCAAGTGGCAGAACTGACCTGTTGATAATTCTTTGTAAGCCTGTATTCTAAACAAGGGCGAAAAGGAGTGCAGCATCGATAAGGTCGAGAAGGGAAATGATACAGTCGAAATGCAGATGGGCCTCCGTAAGGGTGTTGGCCGGTGCAGGTTTCGCGGTGAAGAGTATAGCCGCCTAGCAGGGCCATACACGCGCCGCGGCACACATGACTCTAGCAGTTTGCAGAGAGAGCGTTAGCGTTGAAGAGAGCAGCAACGATGAGAGTAGCATCAACGCGAAAACTCCGAGCAGAATTGGGTCCTATCCGTGCACCACTGGCGACCTCTACCTTGATTTTTAACGAGTTACTTTTTCATCGTAAACTTCACCTTTATGAAACACCTTTGAAAGCCAACCCTGTGTTTGGGCCTCGAAAAGGCGGTCCGATAACAGCACCAAGTCTTGAGCAGATCCAGAAGATCTTCCTTCCCCACTTCCACCCTCCCTTCCTATTTACCGTATTCCATCCAAAATTCGATTCAGTCTTCATACATGAAAGTCAACTTTGAACTAGCGTTCGCAATGACGGAAACATTTTTTTCTTTCAGAAAATCCGTCGTTTGCTGGGAAAAGCGCACATTGGGTTGGTATGCTCTAAGGAAATCAACAAACTTCTGGACAAGCTGCCTCAAACGGTTTACTTACACACACTTTTTTTTATTGATTGTTCTATGACCTATATATTACAGCAAGGGAATTCTATTCCACTGAAGCCACTTGGAAGTCGCCTAGTGCAGAAACACTCATTTGCGGTTCATGGAGGGTCAAGTTCACAGGATGATATAATGTTCATGGAAGTTAGCCTCTTATATTTGATTTCTTCATAGATTTTCCTGTCATTAGTCTTCTTCGGATTTAGTCTCATTCTTTCTTTGAATATGAACAAATTTTATGTGTGCGACGATGCAGTTGTACTGCGAGCGGTGACTGGTATGGTGGTAGAACGATGGTGGTATGAGCGACTTGTCAACATGACTTATTCACCCAAAACGAAGGCAAGTTCTTTCAGTTCTGACTTTTGCCGTCAAAATTGGAATAGAGGTCTAGAACATTCCGACTTTTAAGGTGCTTTGCTTATGGCGGAGACATGAAGACAAAGTCTACATGCATAAGTTCTACACAAAGAAGGTTGGTTATTTTTTACAATAACAAATAGCGGTGTGTATGTGTAGGTGTGACGGGGCAAATGTTAATATCACAAACAACGGAAAGCAAATTTTCCTGTTCTCAAATCTCTAAACTTCGCTTCATGCCCCAGTCCCTCTTTAGCTGGATCATACCGAACTTGAGCAGAAATAGTCTGGTGACTGAGGTTGAAATCGGAGTTTATCATAAAAAGGAAGCCGGTCAAGGATGCAAGGATGGCGAAAAAACGAGAAAAACCACGAAGAACTTCCTTCTCAGTCTCGGTCTTCCTGACAGACACTGCGATATGTCGTCTTAAGGAAGTAAGATAATCCGAACAAGGGCTTACAGGTGGAGACTGCATCAAGCCAAGGAGCACGACCTTGATCGAAAAATATTGGAGAGCCTCCAACTCATCAGGATCTTCTAGATTCTAATGAATTAGTTCATATACCTGGATAAGTCCGGCTCAGTACGACGAGCAATGTGTTCCGTAGTGAAGAGTCCCAGCAGCAGAAGATAAATGTGTGCAAGCGTTAGATTATGTTCAAGATAATGGTGTTTTTCGTCATGAGCTTAAGTTTCACTACGGGTGCCATCTTCATCGCCGGATGAGTGATGACGTAATATTGAAAAAGTGTTTATCTTGCTACACCTAGCCTTCCTCTATCTGAAATGGTCGTTTGAACTTCCGCCCTGGCTAGTGCGATTGAGAATGGAACGTTTCAGAATAGCTTATCTCTGCGCCTAACGCCATGTGCGACAGTGCTCAGACAGTTGGGCACACTCCGCATCTCTTGGCAACTGGGACGTCACGGTTCAAGTTCAGATATGAGCCTATTTTTCTATCTGTTAACTCGGGAATGTTGAAAGAACTCATAGAATTAGTGAAGATAATTCTCTAGGACGGAGAAATCGCTACATTAGTGGATGGCAGGGAAGCTTACAGCATATCATGCAAAAATGGCTGAGATCGCTGGTACGCAGGCTTCGGTTGAACGCAGAAAAACGGGCAGGTTGCCGCGCATTAGCTGATGAAACCCCGGATAACCGAAGAGTTTCGCATCTGCTCTTAAAGGAATCTTTCGCGGAAAATTCTTGCATTCTTTCTAACATGAATGTGTCAGTTGTGATCACTGGAAATAGCACACAAAGTTTCACGCATGAAGATTCGGTTTCCGAAGAGAAACAAACAAAAACTACACTCTATGGACAATCGAAGGTAAAGGGCGGAGCCAAAGGCGGGGCATGGAAAGAAGTCCGCCTTGGGGCGGCTACGTATCAGGCGACGCAATGAAAGAATCGGGTTAAAGCGTGCGATTTTGGAGAGTAGAGACAAATCGATCGATAGAATAGGATGGCAGTAGAAGTGTGAGTGTGAGATGTGAATGCAATAAGTCAAAAGGCCAGAAAGAGTTTCTAGTGAAGGCACTCCAAGAACCAAGTGGAAGCATTCCCGTCGCCAGCATTTGTGACAGATGTCCGGCGGTACTTTGAACGCGTAGCAGCCCTTTCGGTTTTTCGAATTTTTACCAAAACAAATGCAATTTTTCTGTTCTTTTCATTCTTATCGTGGATGATGGGTCTCAAGCCAGTGATTTATGGCTGAAATAGAATCATGATTTTTCCCGGGAAGGATTCCTTTAACGTCGCCTCTGCTCGTCAACCCTTGATTTCGTCTAAAATCATGGGTCGACAGGCAACAACAGCGATGTCAAAGTCTTATTAAATTTAGCTTTTTCAGTTAATTAGTTCTCAGGCTACAATCGAAAATTCTAATAAAATGTTATCCATATATCTTTGTGCATTGTTGCAGTGCCGCGAGCTATACCAATGCATGAAGAAAGCTATGGAACGTGCGGCCGCGCGCGGGCGGGTCTCAATCGAAAGTCGTGCTCTTGGAGGCGAGTTTCCTGTTCATGACACGGAAACGAATCAAGGAGGACTTTTACAAGTTCGGTGTGACGGGGTTTCTCTAATCTTCGCAAATAGTCAGGTATGAGTTAACGTTTTTACGTGCAACAAACGTTGTGCTATTATTTAAATCATTGCAGCATTTCATTGATCTCGCAAATATCAAAAAATGCAATACATTCGGTGGCAATGTCTTTCTTCTGGAAGAATTTGGTGAGTGTGTATATTTTTACAAATTGTCAAGATTTCGAATTTTGAGTTGACTTTAATGGGTAACTGCATGTAAGCTTTTTCTTGGTTATTTCAACCTAATGGGTGTCAATCTTCTACACTAATGCCAGTTGCCATATTTCCTCGCCTCTATCCGAACAAAGCAATCTATTGCTCATAACATTAGTGGTATGCGGTAGCCTAAAACGATTGTCTGGCAGTGATTTATCGAAATATAACTTTGTTTCCGTGTATGGTTGATCAGTGTTTACTGCTACAAATAATCCATATACAACTTTGATTTCTCCTTGTTTGCTGTAGCTTGACGCAGTTTACGAAGCGATTCTTGTTCAGATCATGTTTTTGATAAAATCAATCTGTTAATAGGAGCCCCAAAAATTTTTCGATTTCGTCTTTCAGCCTTTAATTTGTCTTTACAATTTATCCAAAATATCACTAAACTCATCATCCCCATTCTTCACCATGTCATTTTCGATTTTAAAGATTTGAAACTCAATGAGTGACTAGGCTCTACAGACAGTTGCTTAGCTATCATATCTACAGTGTTGAGTAAAAGTATGGAAGCGCGGTATGCCACGGATACATGCGTTATCTCTCAAAATGCTGAGTGGATCCTTTGCATTTTGTCATATCTGATCTTCGTATCCGGTGGGACACCTTGTAAGGGCTGTTAGTTGAAGCTGTACTTTCAATCGAAAGCAAATGTCTGTAAAGCCTGTAACCGAATTAATACAGACTTGTAATTGACTGGTACCTTCCATTTAAGCGCAGAACTCAGGGGGTTATCCGACAGTGTATATCGGTCAGAAATTTTTTGAGGTCCCTGTCCATTTATTTCATTACCTGTAGCTCCTAGCAGGGCTGGCAGAATAGTGCATGAAAAATGTCCGAGTGAACAGTGTTTTGGGGAAGGTCCACCATTATCGCACTGTAGCAATGTCACAATATCGCAGGTGACCTCAATGGTCACGTTGGTGGTGCGAAGGACGGTTACAGCTGTCATGGTGGATTTGGATATGGGTCACGTAACAACCGATGGCGAACGAATTCTTGAGTACGCAAATTCGCACGATCTCACCATCGTGAATACGAATTTCCGGAAACGTGATTCCCACCTCATCACCTTCTACAGCGGTACTACCAGAACGCAAATCGACTTTGTCCTCGTCAGGCAACGCGATCGAGGGCTCGTAACAGACGCAAAGGCGGTGCCGTATGAGACTGTCACCACGCAACATCGACCGCTGATTTGCACGCTGAAGATCGCTCCTCCGAAATTGAAACAAATCGAGCGGTGTGGACCAGCGAGAATCAAGTGGTGGCGTTTGAAAGAGAAGGAGGCGGTCGTGATATCCAACATTCAGTTGCCGGCAGTCACTACTGTTGATGAAACTTGGAAAAGTGCTGCCGAGGCGATAATCCGTTCTGCCCGTTCCGAACTCGGCACAACAAAACCTGGGCGACGGAAGATCGACAAGCTATGGACGAACGATCTTCAAGAAAAAGTACGTGAGAAGAAGAGGCTATACCACGTATTTCTTGGCGATAAGACTGTCGACAACTGGCGGAGTTATCAGGCAGCTAAGAATGCGACAAAGAAGGCCGTTGCTGCCGCAAAAGCTGCCACTTTGCTGATGTCAGCGAGAAGCTCGAGACGCGCGATGGTGAACGCTATGTTTATCGACTCGCCAAAGCCCGCCATCGCCAGTCCGAGGATATCGAGAAGTTTTTCGGCATCAACGACGAAAATGGTCACCTCCTGACGGACCGCAAGAAAGCAGTGAAGCGATGGCACGATTACTTCGAGAACATCTCAACAGTAGAATTTGCTCATCCAGCAGTCCCTTATGTCCGCCAGTGCAGGTCCTGTGCAGAGAATAAAGGAAACGGAAAGGGCTCTGAAGAAGATGAAGTCAGGAAAAGCTACAGGCCCCGATGATTTGGCGGCCGACATATGGAAGTCAAAATGCTGGTGTCCTGCTGAATGGAATGGTTGACCAAGTTTTTCAACCAGATCGTAGCAGAGAGAAAGGTGCCTGAGAGTTGGCAGCAGAGCACAACGATTCCGATTTGGAAGAAGAAAGGCAGCCCTGCTGACTGTACGAGCTACCGTCCAATTCCGCCTGCTCTCGCACAGCATGAAGATCTTTGAGCGAATTGTAGACGGCCGTATTCGTGACATCGTGCAGCTTTCCATCAACCAGTGTGGATTTGTGTCAGGCTGCGGCACCATCGATGCAATACATGCCGCTCGCCTTCTGCTAGAAAGACATCGCGAGAAAAGAAAAGCTGTGCATCTTGCCTTCCTAGACTTGGAGAAGGCTTTCGATCGCGTTCCTCGTGAAGTTATATGGTATGCCTTACGACAGCATGGCGTTCCCGAAGAGCTTATTGAGTGGGTGCGCATCCTTTACTCGAGTCCAAAGAGCCGAGTGCAAACGGCAGCAGGTACATCGATGGATTTTCCCATCTCTGTCGGTGTACACCAAGGCTCTGCGTTATCCCCACTCCTATTTGTTGTCGTCATGGATGCCATTTCGCGAGATCTTCAGAAGCCGGCTCCATGGACGCTTCTTTATGCTGATGACGTGATGCTCGCCTGCGAAGACAAACACTACTCGAGCAACAAGTGCAAGCTGGTCCGATCGCCTGGCTATGTTCGGGCTCAGGTTGAACGTCAAAAAGACCGAGTACTTGACCAACCGATTCGAGTGAGTTAGGTTCTATTAAGATCAATGGTACTGAGCTCACACGTACAACGACATTCAAGTATCTTGGATCGGTAATCGCGTCAGATCTCTCAAGTAAGGTCCCGGTTGAGTGCAGCTTGGTCCAAATGGCGCTCGATGACGTTCTCTGCGATAAGAAAATACCAGAGCGACTGAAATCTAAGATCTACAGAACCGTCGTCCGACCAGTCGCCATTTACGGAGCAGAGTGCTGGCCCGTGACTAAAGAGGTTGAGGCTCGTCTCAGTGTAATGGAGACAAAAATGCTGCGCTGGACTGCCGGGGTCACGCGTTTAGACCACATTCGCAACGATACCATCAGAAAGCGGTTCGGTGTGGCTCCCATCGCTGATAAGATGCGCGAAGCTCGCCTGAGGTGGTACGGTCACGTCCTTCGCGCTAATGAGAGTGTCCGTAAGATCGGTCTAGACTTTAACGTGCCAGGAAAGCGGCCAAGAGGACGCCCGAAGCAACGATGGCTTGATACGTTGCATGAGGACTTGAAATTAGTTGGCCTCCACCCCGATCAGGCATTCAATCGGGAAAAGTGGCGTCAACATATCAGAAAAGCGGACCCCGCCACAAGGCGGGACAAACGCTAAAGAAGAAGAAGAAGAGACGATGTCACAATAGTCCAAAGTGCCGCCATATCTTACCTACGCTGACGTGAAGAAGGCTTTAGATTCTGCGAATCCTGGATGTCGAAGCGCTCCTTGAGGCCCAAGCAATAGGATCTTTTTATCCATTACGTAAAATCTCTTATGATAATGTCTACAGCATTTTTTCAACGAACTTCACCATTTACAAGGAGATCATCATCAGCGTGGAGGGATGGGTTCGACAGGGCGCCATCATCTCTCCCGAGCTGTGACGACTGTTGGACCTAAGCAGACACTGATCATATTTTTCGGAACATCGAACGGACGTAAAACAATCGCCGGCCGATGGTCAGATATCTTTGCGAGAGAGCGCTCTGCACGAAGGGAAATAGCGAATTAATGGACCAAATTTTGAAAAAGACTGGCGTCTCTTCTAATTGTTCCGTGTACCCCGTAAAAACTGATCAATGTGGACTACAAAACTCTGCTTCATACGCCGTACTAAATAGCTCTCTCTATCATCCACTTTCTTATCTATCTCGTAAGCTTATTGGCTAAGAAGCAAACTTCGACAAAAGCGAGGTGCAATTGACCATACCTGATTCCCTGCCATCTCGGTACGATTCACGTTGACGGAAGAAACGAGCGTGCCTCTGATTGGCGAAGATGTGTTGTTCCCGAAAGTTTTTGTTCTGACTGACGATCACTTTGCTGAGATTTATTAGCTCAGAAGATAGAGCTCATAGAGTAGCGTTATTCTCTGGACAATCTAGTAACTCGAGCGGTTGCCAAAATGAAAGTGCAGCTTCACATGTCGCCTGAAAATTCAATTAAATGAACTCAATTCGAGCTGAAGGATGGCCAATAATCCACTTGATCAATCAAACTAACTCAGCTTTAGTTGAAGGCAAAGTCAGGTATTTCTGGACGAAATCAAGCTATTGCGCAAGAAATGTTGAGTGGAACGCAGAACATGTGCACAACTGGCGGGATGACTTTTCGAGGTCAAGGCGCTGACGCCTAAAAAAACAGCCCTCGCCCCAGCCCAACATCATTGACTCCAACAAGTCAGGCTATGTTTTGCTTCGCCGCTTCTGGAGAGGGGAATTTTATTTCCGAGTTTATGGGCGGATTTTCTCCCGTTTTCTAGTAGTGGAATAACACTCAACATCTCCAGTGTTTTTACGAGCGTAAATGGCTTATTATTTCGATCCCGAAATTTGCCTTTTGTGAACCCGGTTCTATGTTCGAATATGAATAGTGTTGATCCTTTTGAAGCATACTATTGTATTCCAATACTAAAGTGATTTCAATGACAGAAAAATTTTTTATGAGATATCTCGTTATGATACGTTTTGTGTTTGCAGATCGGAAGAAAAATGAGCTCGTGCAGCGGCGGTACTACTCTCAAATGGTATATTTGTTATTTCATGCATTTTGTGGCAAAGTGATGTGGTCTGTATGCATGCTGATGTAATTGCTGTGATTGTGTTGAGCATTTCCGACACGTCCGTTCAATGTCAGGAAAAACCCGTAGACGCACGGGGTCTCTTGCTGTTGCTTCTTGATATTACTTTCCATGGATAATGGAAACGCCTATTCATCCCGTTCCCCAACGACCAGAGCAATCTGAATGTCATCTTTTCCAAGCTGAAGAAGGTGCCATAAACTCATCGTCGAAGAGCTACAATTAGGCGCCAAAACAGTGCACAACAGACCGTCAATGTGTCTTCAAAATTTTGACATTATTTTATAGTTTGAAAGTGTCATGACTCGAGCTGATCAAAATTTTTCCTTTAGTCGATGGTAGCTATAATATTATGGCGATGACACTGAAAAGCCGTGTCGAACTGTCCTAATGGTTTGAGGTAGTTTTTGAACCTCCTCAGTGTACGATGTTGGCTCTAACGGTTTCGCTTCGTCAACACTAAGGCAGATTGAAGATCATAAGCTAGTGGCAAAGTCTTTGAAGAGAGTCCGTAGGCCTTATTTGGTGATGCAGCGGTGTGTGATCCCGTGAGGGTTATGGAACTTTTTGCTGCTACCCCTGCTTGCTTCTAGATCGTCCAACAGATCCTCATTTGAGAAAAGGACCCGGCGCTCTCTTCTATATAGGTTGGAAAGAAAGTTTTGAACCACTTAGTTTGCTATGCTCTTGGATTTCTACCCAATGCTCTGGAGTATTCAATGGAGGTATATAAACGGAGCGGACGGTGCTCCAATCAACTGCTCCAGTAATGGCTTTTGCATAGCACAAATCAACTTCTCTTGCGAGACCATCCGAGCGCTCATCCTGTACGAACCTCGCCTGGAGGATCGGCCCACGAGAGGCGCTCAGAATCAGTCCCGTGATAGACTAGGGCAAGATCTCTCACGTGGCGGTTTCATGGTATGGCTTGAACGCTCCGCAGCGGAAGACTTTGATCCCTCTGACGCAACGCACGACTACTGTCCCTTGACGTCGTCCGCTGTAGTCGAGGATGGTTCGAGGAAATCGCCACACTATCTGGCAGAGCGTATTGAGTGCTTTCACATAGACACATAGTGTTATAGGTATTCAGAAATTAGACAAATGCTGGAAATGCTGTCGGAGGATAACGCACGATTTCATCGGCTGGACATCTGCATATTTATCTCTTTATCATTTATATTATTATATTGATTTGCGGCAATTTCAATCATTACTGTCTGCGCTAGACCAAAAATTGAGAGCTCTTTTCCATGACCGCCCATGGCGAAATGAAATGCGTTTTCTAGAGACAGCGATAGAAATATTTTGTCAGAGTGCGGTGAACGGAGCAGAAGAGAATAAAAGTCCGGAGGACTAGATGCCAATTGTGATCTCATAAATTAGTGTCAAAATTTTGAGGCATTTCTAGAATTCTGTTGTGACATTGTCCCGCCTAAAAGGGGATGGATGGTGGGTCGAAGTGGAAATTCTCAAACGTAATATGTAGGGTGTGCCAAAATTACTTGCTCAAATTTCCGCCCTCAGAAGAAATGTGAAGCAGTGAATGGAGGGCTCGTTTTCTAGCAGTGGTTTACGAAAAGAATGCCATTACTAAACTCGGCTTCACATCTCGAAGCTTCTCTCTTGAACCGACTTCTAGCCTTCAGTTGTGAGGAGAGAAAAAACTTGAAATATACTACGAATGGTCCGGATCCGTTGTGGTATTTTGTACAGGAAACTGAGTTTGGTTTTATTATCCTCTTCGATAAAACCGGGGGAGGGCATGACTTCCTAGCCAATCGCAGCCCAAACCATTATTTTGTTGTTTGTAATTAACATTCATGAGTTCTCCATCTACCGTCAGCTTCAGCGGTTCCTAGACAAAGTGGTCGATCATTTTAATGGTCGGAAGTTAAGTTCACCTTGAACATTTCACCGACGAAGGCCATCTCTTGGTGGCGCGCCGACGTAATCATAGCTTTTTTTTCAGTTTTTTTTTGACTAAGTTGGAAAACTCGCTGGATTGGGCCGCATCATATCTTTTACCACTTTAACATTTTTCGTGGAAGTTGCAGCTGGTTGTTGTTCGCTATTCTCAGCGGCCTTTTATGCTCCGGATTCCTTTTATCATTTGATGACAAACTCCACAGCTCTATGCGCGATAGTGTTTCGGCTGTTGTTTTCGCACAGGGACCATACACGCTAAATCGAATGTTCGTGACTCGGAGAAAAAAATTCAACTATTTTTAAAAACGAGGACGCTGAGAAAAGGCATTCATAGCACTGATAGAAGAGGTGGCGACCAAGAGGCTGATCACCAACTGCTTGCTTATCGCTTCCAAATATCAGCGGAACAAACGCTGTAATTTGAGCAAGTAATTTTGGCGCACCCTGTACATACGACAAGATTGCCGCAGATTACGGTAACAAGATGAAGCGGGCATAAAAAATCAGCAACGCTAAAACGGGACAAGTAAATAGTAGGAATTTATACCTACTAAAAAGTGATAAACAGAAAACAAAATTACTTCTGAATGCATGTTCGTCCTGCCTGCGCAGAGTCCAAGTCTCTGAGGCGTAGGTTAGGGCAGGAAGGACAGCGGAATCGAAGAGGTGGGCACGGAGCCGGATGTTCTTCGTCTTCTTCACTACTCCCTCGATGTTCTTGTACGCTCCCCAAGCCGCTCGTTTCCTCCTGCTCAGCTCTGGAGCTAGATCGTTCATCATATTGATTTCCCGACCTAGGTACACGTAGCTGGAGCATTCGGTGATGTTCGTTCCGTTGAGCGTGAATGGGGCATCAGGAACCAATCCGTTTCTCATAACTTCGACGCATACATTATTTATGTCAACTGACGCATGAAGTTTTCGAGAACGGCACTGAGTACTGGGCGAGATGGTGTCGCCCTGTCGAACCCCTCTCTTGACGTTGATGATGGTCTCCTTGTAGAATGGTGAGATTCTGGTCATAAAGTTGCTGTAGAGCTCACGAAGAATCCGACGGATCAGTGGTAGAAGCAGACATCTTGTATTTCGGTTGATACTTCAAATGAGGTCTCGTAACGATGAATGTGGGTCGATGTGCTGAATCTCCTTGCGGAACCTGTTGCTATGGCTTTCACATCTAGTATTCTGCCGATCCTGTTAAGGATGACTCGTGTGAATAGCTTGTAGATTACAGACAGCAGGCAGATTGGGGATAGTTGCCAATGTCGTCCAAGTCTCCCTTCTTGTACAGCAACACGGTCCTGCTGGTTTTCCACGGAGTGGGTACCTTGCATTCCGACAGGTAGCGCGCTGGCAGGAGTGACCAGAGTTTTGATGATAACTGGCGGTGCGTTCTTCAGATGTTCCGGTTTAACCCTGTCGAGACCGGGTGCTGTACAATTCTTCACCGACTTGATGGCGTGTCGGACTTCGGAAGAGAGAACTGAGGGACAACGTATCCATCCTCTTGCGGTTGATAAGTAGGCAGATGGACATGGCTATCGAAGAGATCCGAGTAGAAGTCGTGGATGACTTTCTCCATTGCCCTTCGGGATGCAGTAACTGTTTCCATGGACGTCGGAGGCAGGTCATCTTGGTCTTGTAGCTGGCAAAGCTTCGGCGGGCATTGCGGATGCTCCTCCCAGCCTCTGCTGCTTCAGCTAATACTGCTGCTCTTCGCTCCTTGAGATCTTCCTTTATCGCCTCTCTGCATAGCTTCGCAAGCTCGGACGTGAGTCGGTGATTGCCTGCAGCTCGTGCGGCTCCACGCTGGCGTATCAGTTCGAGAGTTTCCGGAGACAGACGTCCCTTGGTGACTTTCAAACTCTCTGCCTTCCCCACAATCGTGAAGATGTTCGACGAAGACGATGTTTCTCGTTCGATGTGTTTTTCGCTGACGGATCTCTGTAAGCCGACGATGAGAAGTGAGTTAGCCAGTGAGACTGTATTGAGCTCGACTTCTGGAACTATTGCTGCTTCTAACATAATCGAGAAGCGAGAATCTTGCGCGAGAGACGGATGGGTCGATCCGTGATAGATGATTGGAACGCCCGGGAAGTCGGTCAGGTAAACCTTTCGATGGGTTGAAGGATTGTGTTGGTCTAATTTTCTTTATGGAATGCTTATCAAGTTAGTACTCCCAAGTCCAACGAAGGTGAGGGGGCTTTTGGAACTGTGAGTTACCATGGATGGTGTTGGTCGACATGATAAACTCCGACAGTCTCTCACCCTGCTCATTCCATTCCATTCCGTGAGTACCGATGTGAAGTTCTTCAGCCGTTCTTCTTGGGCCAATCTTAGCGTTGAAGTCGCCGACGATGACCTTGAAGAAGGTATGATCTTCCTTGTAGAACTTCTCCAATTCCATTGGTTTGTGCTTTGTCGTAGCTGAGTGATGAGTGCGGTATGCGCGAAGATTGTAGAGAGGGTTGAAACACATATTTTCAAGGTATCAAACGTCCGATCCGATTCGGGTCTTGTAGGCTTTCGTCCGATCAGTGTTTATGGCAAGTGAGACTCGTAGTTGACGGAGGACCCAACACCCCGCCAACGCTATGCTACCGGATGTTCAATGGACGTTCTTTCTACGTATCAAAAACGGTGTAGGGTCATTGTGCGGGCGGTGCCTTCTCGTCTCGGTCAGTCCGATGACGTCGTACTTGATCTTCCTGGCCTGCATCATCAGATCTTCGATGTGAGCTTCGGATGCAAGCGTTCGTGCGTTGAAAGTACAGATCGCCATCTTAGTCCTTCTTCGTTTAGGCAGCCTATCCGGGCCCTGAGATTCTAGCAGCCTCTCCCGAGCGGTCCTACCCAACGCTGCCGTATTGGGGGCTCCCTCAGGTTCAGGGGAATGAGGCCCATCCATATTGCTGTTTTCGGCATATTGAAGGCACACGAGTAGCTTGCCAGGCTCTGTCGTGTGGGCTAGGATAGACCTCCAGGTAGTTAGCCACGCTATCCTGGAGCGGAACAAGGGGCTTATTTTTTGGAGGCGGCCCCGAATCGCCTCCCATGTACTTCCCAGTCACTTGAATGCT